TGCCCGGATGTCAGCGTGGCTGCCCAGGCTGGAAGTGGTGTTCCCAGCCAGGTGTGGCCAGCCAAATGCCAGTAACTTCCTTGCTTTAAGTGCTGCTGAGTCACAATCCTGGCGGGGATGTGACGGTGGCATGCATGTACCCTCCCAGGTACACCCTGCTGTGTGGGAACCCTCCTTTTGAGACCTCTGACCTCAAGGAGACCTACAGGTGTATCAAGCAGGTGGAGTACACCCTCCCTGCCTTCCTCTCCCTGCCCGCCAAGCACCTCATCGCCAGCATCCTCAGACGCAACCCTCAGGACCGCCTCACCCTTGAAGAGATCTTGGACCATGAGTTCTTCAAGGTGAGCGGGTGGGAGTCTGGTCTTGACCCTTCTCTGGGTGGGATGAGGCTTTTTGGATTGTGCAGGGTGCTGTCCTTGGAGCCCAGGCCTCTGTCCTTCAAAGGAAGCAGCTGTTGTCCTGCCCAAATGCCAGCCAGAGGGGCTGAGGGATCTGGTGTGCTCTTGCTGCCTGTCCCTATAGCACGGGCTGTTTCCTGTATTGATGCCAGTCGTGGAGCCAAGGCTTGATGGAAACGCAAGCTGGCTGTCAGGAGGGCTGTGAATGACTGCGGTCAGCCCAGGGCAGCTGCTCTGCCTGGAGCACGTGGGCTACGGAAACCAAACTTCTGCCTTGACCTCTCTGCAGGGCTACACGCCTGAGAAGCTCCCTCCCAGCAGCTGCGTGATGGCTCCAGAGCTGAGTCCCCCCAACCCAGCAAAGAGTCTGTTTGCTAAAGTCACCAAGACACTCTTTGGGAAGAAGAAACCCAAGGGTGAGTCTGTGCACTTGCCTAGGAGCCTCTGGGTGATGCTTCCTCCAGGGAGGAGTGGGTCCCATCTGCTGGAGAGACCTCCTGATGGGTCTCCGTGGACCTCCACGGAGCACAAACTGCCATTCTGGTGCTGGTGGCCTGGCATGGGTGTGCGCCTGGAGAGCGGATGCTGTGCCGCAACCCATGGAGGCAGTTCCTCCTGGAAGCCCTGTGTTGTGAGAACTGGGAAGTGAAAGTGGGAGGCAGCTGCTTGACACCATCTTCACCACTGTGGGAATAGGTGCAGATGAGGGGGAGCTGAGCTACTGGGAGGAGTGGCCCAGATGTCCCCATCCCCTGTGCTCATTGCTTGCTCTCTCCTCAGCCAAGAAAGGCTCTTTGGAGGACAAGGATGACATCTCCAAGCTGGTCACTGGTCTGATGAAGACGTCAATCTGCCGGCAGATGAGCTATAAAACTGTGGAAGGGAATGAGGTGAGAACATTCCCGAGCCTGTGCACGCCCCTCTTTGAGGGAGCGGGCAGGTCGGTGATAAAGCCAGGTCTCTCCGCAGGCCACCCCCGTATCGTGCCGCAGCGCCAGCTCTAGCCCTGTCGAGACAGTGGTGGAGGAGACATCTCACAAGTCTGTGTCCCCCTCCATCCGGGGGACGATGGCCAGCAGCTGTGAGGGTGAGCAATACCTGCCCAGGCCACCCCAGCCTGCCCCAAGCTTCCGGCTGATAGCGGGGCTGGCTGACTCAGCCTGTCATCTTCTCTCGGCAGCCTTTGAAGACTGCATCACCGCCTCTGCCATCATCGAGTCGGCTGTCCGACTCCTTCGGACCTGCCTCTCCTTCATGCCCCCAGGTAAACCGGTTGGACTGCTCTGGGATGGGATGGGATGCTGTGCATCCCCTTCCTCATGGGATGAAGGCACGGCTGCTATTTGGAGTACCTTAAATGCTTCCAGAGCCCTCTGCAGGGGTCTGCTCCCCCCTGGGGAGGCGAGATGGGCAGAGGGTGGCTGCCTGTTCTGCTCACCCCCTCTCTTCTCCACCAGCGGAGAAAAACCCAGCTTCCTTGGCCCGCCACGAACACTTTGTCTGGGTGAGCAAGTGGGTGGATTACTCCAACAAGTATGGCTTTGGCTACCAACTCTCCAACCGCAGCATCGGGGTCCTCTTCAACAACGGCACGCACATGACGCTTTCCCCCAACCACAGGTGAGCAGTGAGGAAGGGGCTGGTGTCTCTCCGGAAGCCTCTTGGGTGGGAAAGGGGGCAAGGGGAGGCTGTGCCAGGGGTGGGTTTGGTGCTGGGTGGCCTCAAGCTCATGGTCTGCTCCCTCCCAGGACTGTGCATTACAACCCAACCAACAGCAAACACCTTGTGTTCTCTGTGGCTGCCATCCCCGAGCAGCTGCAGGGACAGATGAGTGTCCTTCGCTACTTTGCATCCTACATGGAGCAACATCTCATGAAGGTGGGTGCTGGGGCCCTGGGCTGGGTGTTTGGTCATGGCCTGACCGTGCTGCTTGGGGTTGTGGGACTCCCTGCTCACAGGCCGAGTGGACATCCAGAGGGTTGTGTGTCCTGGGAGTGGGGACCCCACTGGTGGTGTGTCCAGGTTTGGCTGTGTGTATGCTGGGGGCAATTCTCCCATGTATGGGACCAGTGGCTTACACAGACCCTTCTCTCCAAGGGAGGTGACTTGCCCAGCATAGATGACCTCGGGCAGCCGGCGCTGCTGCTCCTGCAGTGGGTGAAGACCGACCAAGCCTTGCTTATGCTCTTCAGCAATGGCACCCTCCAGGTACGTGTGGGGCACAGTGGGGAGATGCCCAGACCCCTGTGGGGAGTAGGTCAGCTGGGGACTCCTGGCCTGTGTTAGATATTGTCTGCCACAGCCCAATGCAAGGTCCAGCTGTGAAAACAGCTGTGGGTGCAGGATGCTGCTCCAGTGCCTGGAGCTGCTGGTTGCAGCTTGTCCAGCTGATGGGGGACATGATGCTTCAGTTGACTGCTTCCGTCTGCTCCAGTGCTGGCGTTGGTGTGTTCCTGCCGTGGGGCACAGAGCAGGGATGCTCCCGGGCAGGTTGGGGAAGAGGAACGGGTTGAGGCAGGAAGTGTGGCTCCATCCCGACATGCCGCGGGAAGTGTGAGTTAAACCAAGCCCAACCTGTCTTCTAGGTGAACTTCTACAATGACCACACCAAGGTGATCATTAGCAAGCCTGACCACTCCTGCCTTGTCACCTACATCAACCGGGAGCGCAACTCCTACACCTACAAGCTGTGCAGCATCCAGGAGCTGGGCTGTTCTCCTGAGCTCCACCACCGCCTCAGATACATCCTCAAGCTCCTCCAAGAACGGGCTGAGGCCTAGCATGGGACCTTGGGGGACCCTCTCTGGATGTAGAGGTCCCCCCCTGCCCTCCCACGGGATGGGAGGTATGTTGTGGTGCTGGCTGCCCACCTCGGCATCCCGTATCCTGGTGCTCAGC